AATTATTTGAATTTGATAAAAAATCTTGTTTATTTTTGTGGATTTATTATATTTTAAAAGTAAAGAGGCGTAATATGCATATAATTTTGAACTTGAATACTAATTATATAATATTGAATACTACTTATATCTTATTTTAATCAATGAAACATTAAACGGAAAACAAAATGTGATTGTTGTCATTGAAAAAGTGAAATACTATTCTTCGATGAAATCTTATTATTACTTTAATCAATTAATCAAGGCATTTTGATACAGTTTAAGAGAAGAGAGTATAATATATCTGATATTTTATATTTAACTTTTTTATCGAGACAGTTGAACAATGATTAATATATTTTTTCAGAAATAAAACGAACAAAAGTAATTGTATGACTAAAATGGCAAACAATAAGACGAAAATAGAGACGAAGATAATTTAGTATTGCCTACAGTTCACAATTATCATATTGTGTATTTGATTCTATTCCAATTATATTCCATATTGCATTTTATATGAATAAAGATTAATCGCGATTGAGATTGAATCGAGCTTCATCAGTCGACGCAAGTAAAAAAATTTAGACTGACGTCAAGTTTCGCGCGATAATTTTGTTGCAAATTGAGATCGAGGCCAAGAGATGATGAAGTTTGATGAAAGAAAGAGAAGAAGAAATCTGATGCATGTTATAATCTTAAGAGCAATTTTTAAATTTAATGTTTTATCGACCGTCTCTTTTTCTTGTTTGCTATGATCTAAAGAGTAATACTAAAAAAATAAAATTTTATTTTTTATTGAATATCTAATTGTGAAATTCTGATATTATATCTTTTATCAGTACTAATGACATAGTGAAAATAATTGACATTCTTAAATGAAATTATTAAGAAAAAAAATACATGATAAAAATAGACATGACAGTTCTTTCTATTTAAATTATTTTTTTAATAATTAAATAGTATGAAAATTATTTAATAGATAAATAGGATTGATAAATAGGATTGTAATCTAAATAATGCAAGTCATTTTTTGAATTAAAGAATTTCTCCAATCTTTCTTGTACGTATGTTCTTCTCAAGTTTGTGAAATTTCCACATCTCTATGATTTATATTTATGTCATACACAACTTTACAATTTTTCTTTGAACAATCGAATTTCAGTCTGCACAAAGTATTTTATTCAGACAAATTTGTTTTTCGAATTGCTGCGTGACTTTGCGTGGAAAAGGGAACAACGCGCACGTTCGCCTCGAGAGTGTGCGATGGCGAATACATTCGCCTCGAAAAGCAAGCGAAACGATTTCCACGAAGGTATAAAAAAGAAAAGTGCAGGAACAAGCCGCACGGAAATAGCCGCGGTTAATTTTGCGCCTGCTCCATGCTATAAGCGTACATCATAGAGGGTTTGCGTCTGTTCATCGTCTCTTCTTCTTCTCGTTCTTCGTTGAGTTTCTTCTTCGTTTTAATTTTTTCTTTCTCTCTTTCGAGCTCTCTTTTTTAAATATACTTTTCTTTGAAAAAATCTTGCTTCTTCGAGAGAGATATTATTAATATTACTGTCAGATTAATATTAATATTACAACAATATTATATAATATATTATATAATATATTATATTATATAATATTGATACAGTTGCTATAACATTTGTCAATATTACTATAATATTGACAAATGTTATAGCAACTGTATAGTATTTTCAGATTTCATGTAGTTATTACATTAATATAGTATAGTTTAATTTGTAACATTTCTCTACATTAGAATTTTTAATATAAATTAATTATTTATACTAACTACTCCTTATTAATAAATGTGTATTAAGTAGATTATATTTTATTAGACATAAGGTTGAATAAATTAGTAGTTTATATTAATATTTCAAAATTTTAATCATTCGAAAAGTTATTTAACAAACACAAAATTATTAAAGTTGAAATAGAAGGAATTATTGTGATAAATTAATATAGTAAATTGATAATTTAAATTTCTGTGTATGAAATAGTGATATTTAATGTTAAATAGTTGTTTTTAATAGCCTCAAAGACATTAAAATTAATTATAAATTAAGTTTGCAGCAAAAAAATATGTGGTTATTATTAAATTTTATGATTATATTAAAAATATAATATGACTATTAAATATTTATTATTTGTGAAAATTGCGGATTTGGAAAGAAATCTTTTATTGATCGAGCGAGCATTTTATGCAGTTGCAATATTAAAAAAGATAATCATAAATTTTTTTGGTGTATTTAAAAAATCAATAATTTGTACTCACAAAAGAAATATTACGATACGCGCCTGCGCTTACGTTTTACCGGTTTTCGCGATATTTATTTGCAGTTCAGCGCGATTTTGCAACCCCAAAATGTCAGTTCCCTCTTGCTTTCATGATATTCACGTCATGGCCGTCAATCGAACTTGCCCCTGAGCGTTAATCATTTTATGTTCCATATGCGTAGTTTTAGTAAAATAATTACCTTATAAAAAATATATATCTTCTAAAAAGAAGCTTTTAAATTGCAACTATTATGCAAATCGGAAAATTAGCGTTTAGCAAAGTTATATATATATGTATATATATATATATATATATATATATATATATATATATAGTATGTTGTTAATTTGAATTAAATTATTAATTCAAAATTAGTTAATTCAAATTTACGATTTGTAAATTTTGTATGCACTTAAACTTCTTGTAACTCTTTATATAAACTTTTAACTTTATTAATTCTATAAAATTATTTTTTTTCCCAAAGTTTTCTTTAGCTTGATAACTTGAAGAGCAGTTAGTGTGCTAGTTTTTAATATCACCTTTTTCGTTCATAGATTCTTGTCTATTAGCTTCTTGCTCGAACAATCGAAAGATGTGTACTTCTTTAGGTCTCCCTTTCTTTCTTTCTGGCAATACTAGATACACGTCCATCAGCTCAACCGTGTCTGACCATTAATCTCCATTTTCTGGCAATTGTCAGATAAAACTCCATGTTGTAAAGTTACATCGACATTTCGATGAATATTCTCAAAATTTATCATGAGATGAATGTTGCAGTCTTTATAATGAAAATCCATTATAATAAATCACAAGTTATAATAGCATTGAAAATGGAAATTTAAATCATATATTGCTAAATAATGAATAATTAAAAATTTGGAAAAAAATTTTTATTTAATTTAAATTATTATTTTTAAAAAAATTGTTACATACGTTATGTTTCCCCCTTTTCAGAAGTTGATATTATTTATAACGTAAATTCTATTCATTTATTATTTATAATGTTTATTCTCTTTATTTGCGCTGGCTACAGAAAAATTGCGTTTTATAGGATGCAAATATGTAATTCCTTATTTATTTTACTACTAACATATTTCTATTTGATTTAACAAGAGCAACCTATTTTGCATTTAAATTTTGAATTGAATATCGAATTATGTTGATATTTATAAGGCAGAAAATAAAAGATAAATATATTACGGAAAATTTTTATAAAGTGTAAATGTATCGCATCGAAATGATACGAATTATATAATAATTTGTATTTATCAAATTTTAATTAAAGTTTTCTTTGTTTAAATACTAATTTTATATTTTATAATGTAATACTGTAAATTAATATTATAATGACATATTTAGAATTGCCTGTATGATGAAAGCTAAATGATAAATTAAAGCTCTTTTAATTCCAAGCAACGTAATATTCGTCTTCTTTTTTATATGCGTATAACTCTTGCTTGTATATTTTGCATGATAATATTTGCAATAGAAAGAAAAACAAACCAGAAAATTGGAGGGGAGAAAAAACAAATGACAGATAAATATTTTACGTATAAATATAAAAGCGTACAGAAAAAAATGTGTTAGTATATGAGTGACTATTTTTTATATGAATGAATGCGTTGTTAATGTGATAGCAACAAATTATTAGATTTAAAATTTAATACAATAGAATTGAGATTTAATTATATTTATTATCATTATTTTATATCATTAAAATTAGGTGTTGTATACTGTGTAATATATAAATAGAATTAAAAGAAAATTTTATTATAATATATGTATAATTCTACGCATATACGAATACTATATTTTTAAAAAACAAAAATAAAACAAGTTTTAGTATTTATATAGCTATATACTTTTGTGCTCGGTTCTTTACTCTATGTTTTTGGCGCCTGTACTTGACAGAAATGTCCATTATTGATACCCATTGACTGCCGCGGACTGCATCTCTAGAAATGCGAGACTCGTTGAGTCGACAAAAAATCGGTTAGGACAACGACACCAGAACGATTCTCTGACGTCATTGACGATGTTTCGTCAGCAGGCTAAAATCAATCGGTGATGCTCTTGACAAGTGAAGCCGTAAAATGCATTTAGAGGCATAAGATTACGTTGGTCCTCTCTTTTGTCACGTGTTCGCGAGGACGTTTATTCTTTGATAGTTTCTCTCCGGAAACTGGTTTATTCGCAGCTTTGATTATTTTTTTATTATTGCTTTCATTTCGAGAGAAAAAGAAAGAAAGAGAAGAAAGAAATAAATGAATCGACAAAGCTTGATGATTTTTATTTTTTTGCCCTTCTTTCTCTCGTCCATAAATAAAGTAGCATATTATGATAAAGATAATAATTAAAGATAATAATAAAGCTTTGTATCATATAATCAATGTATTATATATTATAATATGTAAAGAGAGAGAAAGATAAGAGAAAAGTAAATTTAATTATTTGAACATTTAATAAAGAGAGGATTTATTGATATTATACTGGAGAAAAAGAATATTATATTACTAAATTATTTGTTAGGAAATAAAATATAACTGTTTTGTTATAAGCTTCTTTTTTAATATTAGAGTTTATAGTGGCTTAAATTTTAATAGAGATGTATAATATTTGTTTAAATACACATACGCACAAACGGATGTATCTTTATCTTTCTTCAGGCATTATACAGTATTAAAAATTTTCTCTAAAAGTATTCAAAGATATTTATTGTTTTTTATTTTTATTGCAGATGTGCCGAGTGAACAATCCGTTTTTGTGATGCTAAACGGAGAAGAAAGTGAACTTAAATTTTTAAACATTGCTAATCCAAAGGTGAGAAACCATCTCTGTATTTACCATACATAAAAATATACATCTTAAAATCTAAGTATAATAAGTATAATATAATATCGAAGCAGTAAAATGATCTATAATATATAGATATATAGATAAATAGATCTATAATATATTCTTGTCACATATATAAATTAAAAATTTAAAATTAGTAGCATCTATTAAGACTGCAATGCTATGTTATGAATATAAATATAAATTTATATTTATTTATTTGAATAAATTAAGAATTATAGTATTAAGAAAAAAATATAAAAAAACAAAACAATAAAACAAATGATAAGACTTAATCAAATTAACAGACAGAAAGAAGAATTTGTATAGATTGCATTTTAAATCTTAATTAAATTTTATTTATAGATTGCATTTTAAATCTTAATTAACGATTTCCAGAAAATTTTCACTTTTTATCTTATTTCTTAAAATAGATAAATGTAAACAGAGAATTTAGAATTTTCTTTTGATTCGATAAATTTGATTCTAATTGATAAATTTTATTTTGCAGACCGAATTGGAAAAAATGCCATTGCCGGACGCCTTCGTTGTAATGTATTCAGTGATAGACAAGGCATCCTTTCAAAGAGCCGAGGAATATCTCGCTCGACTTCACGATCAAGATCTTCTTCGTGGTAGACCGGCTATTCTGGTCGGAAACAAGGTCGATTTGGTTCGTTCTAGAGTGGTTTCGCCCCAGGGTAAGAAGCAGAACACTGTTCTTTTTTATACATATATTTTTTCATGATTAGATGGTTTTATGATATTTTGTCAAATCGAACAATTAATATATGTTACATCAGATAAAAATTTTAAGATTTTAAGATAAAAATAAGATCATTGTATTTATCTGTGACGTATATATTTATTTCAAAATATTTTTTTGTTCTATTTATCAATGTAGATAAAACTCTTTCCTGTTTCTTGTTAATTTATTATAAAATAAGATTTATTATTATTAAAATTATTAAAAAATTAAAATTAAAAAAAATTCTTAAAAAGTTAAAATTAAAAATTCTACAATAGATTTATAAAGATAAGATTCTATTTCAGTTTATCTATGTTGTATTTTATCTGCAAACGAAGTATTGTTTTTTATCATTTAATTTAAAATAAGAGACTATTTTAAATTCTCCGTATTAGAAATGCGGGATATTCTTTTAAATTTTTATCTTTTCTATTTCAACTATAATTTTTCATTTCAAATATCTGGATTATGCATTATAGATGGGAAATGTTTGGCTTGCACCTACCGTGCAAAATTCATCGAAGTGTCAGTAGGCATTAATCATAATGTCGACGAGCTCTTGGTCGGTATACTCAACCAGATTCGTTTGAAAGTGGTACAAGGAAACCAGGAACACCGAAACAGCAGTGGCGGCAGCGAAGGCAGTGGCCACTGGTACAAATCCAGAGGTGTCGTGCGCGCTAGCATGAAAGCCAGACAAATGCTGACCTGGCTGTTCGGCAAAGAAGATAGTAAGTTCAAGAATTGCGAGAATCTTCACGTACTTTAAATCATAGCGATAAGAAATTGCAGGAATCGAATTTTTGTTTTTCCGATTTCTGTTTTATTAGTAAGTACGACGCGCATAATTTCTGGAATTTTTTTCTCGAAGGAAATTCTATTAACATTCACAAAGTTTTTAAAAACTGAAGGAATTTCTACGTGTAAGGGAAGACAAAGTAAGAATTGTGAGAATGTAGTCTGAATGTATAGAACGAATATAACTCAACAAAATGTAGTTTAAGATTTTGAATCAAACGTGATGTTTACATAATGGTGTACGAGAATATTTTGTTATTCTAGGGAAAACGGGGTCCGAGGACCAAAATGAATATAATTATATAATTATCGGATGAACGAAGAGTTTATAAAATATTAAAAAAATTTATTATACATTTTTCGTTAGTATTCTAACGAAAAGAAATTAATCTATGATGGATAAAAGAAAAGCATTTATATATCGCATTGCTGAAATTAGTAGCTCTCATAATGCAATCAAAAGTTCAAATCAATCATGACGATAAGAAAGAATTAAACTGGACCATGACGTGAACTAGAATCACAGTTAAATTTACAATCTTGTTATATAATAAGACCAATTATATATTTAATCTTTATATTTAGTACATATATATGTACGAAAATTTTACGTGTACATGTATATTTCGCAAGCAAGTATGTTCTATATAAATATACACACGTGTATTCTCTTAATCTCCTGTTAACGATTGTCGATTCTACTATATGATGGCATTATGTTATTGCATAAATAAAATAATTGCTATTCTTACATTGTTAAATTGGTTTGTATCGCGAATGTTATTAATTTCTCATATTCCAATGGACTTCCTGTGCAATGACTTTCGTTATTGCGTTGCGGCCAACTTTGTGCTCTATATGCTAATAAAGTTTTATACAGAAAAGTTACTTTGCCATTTAACATTTATACACATTTACTATAGTTAAGAAAAACATAGTGTATAAAAATTAGCGTCTATATGTTAAAACTAAAATACTTATTATATTATTAATAAAGTGAATCTATACATTGATTCCTTTAAGGTTTCACTTGTATTTTATAAAGTAAACATTTGATTATGTATTTTGATATCAAAGATATGTTAAGAATCGTATATTACAACTGCATATCAAATAATTTTTAATTAACAGTTTGTGTGCGAGATCTGATTCGATCAATTCCTTAGTCGAATATTTTATTAATTGTATTATTTATATAAATTATTTTGTACTGAGTATTAATATAGCAAATAATATGTAATTCGATATTGTGGCATTTTATGCGCAACATTATATCGCAGTGCAGATAAAATTTATCATATTTCATGTTTTACTCGCGCGTTTTACGAAAAAGAACGAGAGTACTCTGTAACATACGTAAATTGTAGGCTTCTGAAGAGAAATATTCTTTTTGGATCTTTAAAGAGAAAAAGGAAAGAGTATCTACAAAAGTTGTCTATTTTCTGCGATTTCTATGCCTGTATATCCGAATTATATGAACATATAAACTCAGAATGGCGTTTACATGATGGGAACAATGCATCAATGACGTGCAACTTTGCCCTTCTTGTGTGTGAATATTTTATCATCCCTTAACTATGTATACGAAAAATTAACGTTTCGGATTACAGTAGTGAATTGTAATAGACTTCCTTTCTCTCCTTATACAAACATTTTGAAGTGTTTTAACTCTTGATGAACTCAATAAAAATTAAGAAGAATTTATCCGGTATTCTTCGTTGTCGTCATCATAGTTATTTAATTAATCAACCGTTAAACGCGAGTTATGACAAATACGCTGTATGAATTTAAGTACTTATCTCCAGATGTATGTTAATGAGAAATCAAAGATTCTTATCAAGTGCCTTTGCGTATTTTTGTAATTTAAGCTAACTCGGTGTAAGCTCCACGAATATCGAACTGTATAGTCTATTATTATACATATTATATTACTTATTTGTTGTTAATTTATCATGTTACCTGCGAGATCGCGCCGCATTATATACTCGGTGAGCGTAACTTTTCTTTCAAAATATATAAAATTGATTTTATTTTAAATTTCCATTTTAAGTTCATGAAAACGTGATATATATAAAGTGTCAAGCAATTTCTCTTCCGAGCAAGATCTTGCAATTAAAGTTACGCAGCTGAATTTCCTAATTCATGTCATTAGCGTTTCCTGAAAACTGTGTGTGGATGTAATATAGTATTAAAGTTGTCATTGTGTCTATTCGTTGTAATACGTGACGTGACAATACTGCCAGTCCTTTGATTAATAAAATGCTGAGAAAAATTCTGCTGCAACAATTCGATATCACGATATCGTGAAATAAGTAAGAATTTCGGAAATTTTATTTATTTGATTCTGATGCGTAAACATTTTCATATAACACATAAATCATGTTATTCATATAAATGCATGTGTTAATTAATATGTAAATTTATAGATTCACATGTTTATCAATTTAAACTGTAGATTACTAATTCATTTCGACTTAATTCTTGCAGTTTTTTTTTAAATAAAATGTAAAGAGAGAAAGAAATATCAAAATAATTGGAAAATCAAATTATCGATTAAAGTTAAAAAAAGCAATATAATGCATCAATACAATAAAATAACAAAATCTAATTGTTTGTTTTAAATTTTAAAGTTTAAAATTGAATTATCAAAATATTTAATAATCGTAATTACAAGAAATATAAAATTGCTTAAGAAATCACCTAGAGCTTTAAGATTTCATCGATAAAACATTTATTTATATGTATTATGATCTAACAATATAATCTTTAAATTTTTTAAACTGCCAACTTTTAAGAAAACAACGGAAAAAAATTTAAAAAGAATTGGAGAATAATGTTCTTTTCTGATAAAGAACCATTTGAAAATTTGTTAAACAATCCGTAATAATGTCAATGATATTAAAATTGTAGCTTACTAATACTAATACTATTTTTTTATTTTTAATTCTACAGATTTTAATCACGTAACGAAAATCAATTGATTTATATATCCATCTCTATATATGAATCAGCGTAAGATCCATTATTTTCACTTTCAATTATTATTAAATTATTATTAACATTCTTCAAAGACGCGGAGGAATTAATTCATTTTATCGCTTATTGAATGCACTTTTCTGACGTTTTTCTTCAACGCTTGTTTGTATTTATTCCTGAATCAAATGTCTATTGTAAATTGTTGATATCGCTATGCTCTGTTAATAAATACTCGCGCCAGACGCATGCGCTTTGCACATTGATTATTTTACCTGGTGCCTGGTGCCACATATTACGAGTTAGCTGTGGCAGATTGCCATGCGACCAGAGAAAACAAGTTTTAGTAATAATATTCTTCTATGAATGTGATCAACGCTGAAACATACGGACGTCGTGGTACTTAAGAAATCCATAAGGATGCACCCGCTAAGTACATCCTATTGATGGCGGGTTTTTATCAAAGAGAGATGTATAATATTCCTATTTCAATATAAAAAGATATTTTAATATAAAATTCAACATTTCTAACGCCGTTTTATTAATAGTTATATATAAACACACATACGCTAGGTAAGAGAAAAAAGAGAAAGCAAGAGAGAGAAAGAAAAAAGTTTATACGTATAAGATATATATATATATATATATATATATATATATATATATATTAATATACATATAATATATAAAAGAGAGATGTGTGTCGATGTAAATTTTTTTTGAAACTCAAATGTAGTTTCACTGATGACTTATCAATGTGTACAAACTCAGTATAATAATGTAGTATATTAATAATAATATACATATGTAATTATATGTAGTACATAATAATACTACAACATATATTATACATAATGATACATAAATTTTTTAATTGCTGTGGTGAAATGCGGTAAAATAATAGGAGAAATTAAATTTTCATTTTGATACTATTTTTCAGTTTTAATCAATATAATGTAATTAATATTTTGAGTAATGAAATATTTTGATATTTACATTAGCAATTAATTTTACGTTAGCAATTAATTATCTTGTCTTTTTACATTAAAATACTATTGATTTTCTATATTATTATCTATATATTAATATACATAATCTACATATTAATATATTATCAAATGAATATACAAAAATGTACGATCGTGCACAAATATTTTTAATATATTAAATGATTATTATGCGCCAAAAAGTATATATTTTTAGATACTTTTTGCAAGTTTTTATCGATGTCTGAAAATTATATTATTACATTCACTTATGGCATCTGCAAAGCCAACCACGTGCAAAGAGGCTATACGGCGATGGGAAGAAGAAACTGGGCATGAAGCAGCTACGGCGACAGAAGTAATTTTAAGTTTTCAGTGGCCACCGATAGAAAAGATGGATAATGCATTAGCAGTTTTGGCTAATTGTGAGAAACTCTCTCTATCGACAAATATGATTGAAAAAATTGCAGGTATTACACTTTCCTTTAAATATACATATATAATTATATTTGTCATTTTTAACAAATTATTATTATTATTAGTTTACAAATAAACCATTGTTTTGTGATTGAAAAACAATACTTGGCAATTTTTAACATTTTCGAATTTTGTGGAGCAAAAAATTTGCTTAAAATTTCGTTCTCGAAATGTTTCGTGCACAGAAACAGTGAAAATGACCGGAATTATGGCGAGAAAATTTATGAATTATGCACCACATAATGATCCCGCTCACATTTCTGTTCTTATTCGTTATTTTTTGACAAAAATTTTTTTTATTTCTTACTATTATGTTGCATTGATTAATTCTACGATTATTCATAAATTGATTAATTTATGTAAATTTCAATATACATATTTCATATGCCGCATTAGAATTGATGTATATTCGAACTGTCAATTACCAAATGCATAATACATATCTAAGTCGATGGCTATCTCAATAGCATGATGCAATTACAATGCAAATATGTTTATAAATTTTACGTCATTATACGAATGAATCGCGCGAGACGCGATCTTCAATTGTTATCATCAATTTACTTGTTAGAAATAATTAAACACTGTCCATTACAATCTATGTGATATCGAGTGATAATTATTCGATCGTTAAGACATGCTTAATAAGTGCTTTTGCATTTATTATTATATTAAATTATTAATTTTGTTTCTGAATGTGTATATACATTTTAAATGTATATACATTTTATAATATTTTATTGGTCATTGTTATAATATGACTTATGCAATTCAATATATATATATATATATATATATATATATATATATATATATATATTCAATATTGATACATAGATTATAATAGTATTAATTATAAAGTAAAGATAATAAAAAACAAAGCAGAAATATAACGCTAAGTATAAATATTTAAATTAATTCTTTAAATATATTTTGTTTTGTTCTTCTAGGCATTGGCAGTTTAAAAAGTTTAAAGATTATATCATTAGGTCGTAATTTAATCAAAGGTTTCGCTGGTTTTGAAGCTCTAGGTGATACTCTTGTGGAAATTTGGATTTCTTACAATTGCATCGAGAAAATGAAAGGCATTCAAGCAATGAAAAATCTTCGTGTCCTTTATATGTCTAATAATTTGGTGCGAGAATGGAACGAATTTGCTAGATTACAAGAACTTCCAAATCTTCAAGATCTGGTATTCGTCGGCAACCCATTGTATGAAAATCACGAGGTACTCCTTAATATATTCTTTGGTAAAAATCTTTGAAACATAAAATGTTCTCATATGTAACACAATTTATAATTTTTAAAAAATAGTGATGTACTATTTGGATTTTAAATTAAAAAAGGAGAGAAGAAAATTATTTTTGTGTAGGTAGAGCAATGGAGAATCGAGGTTGCGCGGCGTTTACCAAGTTTGGAGAAACTTGATGGTGAACCTATAATACGGACAGAAGAAAATCCAATCTCGATTCAATCAGTCAAAGCTGATAGTCCATCGCATGAATTGCTCGAACCTGGCTAATTTTTTGACAGCATATTTTATCTTTTATGTTTCTTACATCTCTTATAAACATTTTATTAATGTATTTATTATCATTTATTATTTATTATTTATTATCACGTATTATTAAGATTTTTTAATTAATAATATATAATCATAAATTTATAAATAGAGAAGATTATTAATTACTCAGATGTACATTTATATTAATTTATTCGTCTCACAATACAAGACAGATCATATATATGTTTTGGTGGTTGAAAAAGGTTGAAAAAGCAAATATAGTAGAGTTCGATTAAATTCGATGCACGAAATATCGAGGATCAGACAGACGAATCTTCGAAAGTTGCTCTTCATCATGATTTGCTTCTTTTTTGTCTGTTCTCTTTTGTCATACAAGGCGTGCGAAATATTGAAATGTGTTACGTAGGACGCTCGTTATAATTATCGTTTCTTTTTTTTCATGTAATTACATAATAAAGTGCGTTCACGCACGCAGGATGCGTGCATTAGAAAAATTGACATGTGTGTATACGTATGTGCGTTCGGCTGAATTCTTTCTATTTGCCTTTCCGCTTCATTTTTTGATTTCCGTTTTTTACAAGATTGATTTGCTTACATTTTCAACTTTATTTCACATCGTTGATATATAATATTAAGTTAAATTTATGATCTTACACAAATTTATGTTTCTTACATAAATATACATTATTTGATCACTCAATAAATTATTAATAAAAGCTACTATAAAAACGAATAAAAATCTCATTGAACCTGCTTGGCATATTTCATAAGACAAGTAAAATATTTCTATTATAATTACTTTATATTTTGAATTAAAATTTGGCTCAATGAGTAAATTAAAAAAATTGAATTTGCATTTTGAAAAGTTTTAATATTAATTTTGCTTGTTTAATAGCGTAATCTTTTATTCATAGATGGCATACGTACTTTAACGTTAATCATGAAGAATTCGCCAACTTTGCATCAAAAAGTTGAAAAGTCTACATAGAAAATAAAATTAATAGAAAAATCTTGTGCAGAGCAATATATATAAATTTTCGAACCAAAATTATACTATATTTTTAACAATTAGTCGGAAAATAGATTTTATATCTTTGAAACATTCTTGAATTTCGTTTCTTTCTGTCGATGCTGAAGAGATTATATAGTAAAATATTTGAGAGAAGAGTCTCTGTTTTCGTCGCACAAGCAGGTACGTTCAACGAGAAAAGTTGTCATTAGTCTTTCAGGAGATATAGAATTATGTGTGAATGGTGAAAAGATAAAAAGAAGCTTTAGTTAATGACTAACAATAAGAATAAGAAAAATATCATATATAGATTTTTTCGGTTCGATCCGTGCCGTCGAACGACACCAAGGCGGTACGGCTGCTCTTCAGGGAGGAAAATACATTTTTAAATTACTAGAAATTATGTATGTATAAATTAAAGTTTAATTATTAGAATATATATTAAGCCAATTTCATTTCAGTTTGATTGATGAATACACATAATTAAAAATATTTTTTTAGAAGAAGATATATTAAATCTTAATGTGCTTTTAATTTCATATTATTAATATTTTATTTATATTTAATGATTTGATTAGTGTAATCAATACCCTAAGTTATATAATAATGTCATTATTCGTTGTGTGTTGCATCGAAGAAAGAAATATATATGATTTAATTATTTTGTATATATATGTATATATCTTCTAATTTAAGAAAAGAGTATAAAAAGATAGTATTGTATTTTCCTCCCAGCTTTGTCGTGAATCAATTTTGCATAATCAAAATAGAAATCTCCATGAACAGTCTCGATGACTTTCTTTCTTATACACAAACTGTTTGTGAAAATAATTCGTTTTAAAGAAAATCATCATATTATATTCTTATATAATATATATTTATATCTATCATGAAAATTTCAATTTCTGTTCACAATTGATACTCGACAAACGAAAGTGAAGTCGCCCTTCCGCAAACGGAAGTCTCGTTCATTTGAATGATGTGAACACTGGTATGTTTATTTTCCTAAAAATTACATAAGTACGCGCAAGTACCTAAATATTTTTGCGCGGGCCTTTCTGTATAAAATATAAAATAAAAAATTTTGCGGCTGCTCCGGTGTCGAGCCCGACGAGACGGCTTTTAAACATTTAGCTACGTCACATCGATGGTTTTTCACGTGCTGCATAGCTTTATTCTCTACACTTCTCTTTTGACACAAAAATAGTTCTGATATATTTCTCTTGGTCTTCTTTTCCGCGCCTTTCCTTTTTTTCTTTTTTTTCTCTTGAATCAACACAGATTATATTCACAATTTACACTGAAATAGATCTGACGGATCTTTAGGATAAAGGCTGGTAAAAAGATAGGCAGAGAAAGATAGAGTGCTTGAGAGAGAGTGAGAATCAACGATATACCAGGGATGGATTTAGTTCTTTTTTTTTTCTCTTCAATCTTCTCATTGACTCTTAATTTTTTTTATAAGTCTTGATGACGATTGCAATACCGCAAATTTTTTTTTCTCTTTCTTCGGCACGTAATGTGCTTACGCGGCGAATCGTTGTTTTTGCTTCTTTACAAAATCGAGAGCCATTTTGTCACCGATTCGAGTTTCCAGAATTTGAAGAATCGGATGATCTAGAAACAAAAGATAGAATTACTTCGCAAAGAAAATAAATAAAGCATTGTTTTAGAAACTATAATGTGAAAAATATAAGTAAGAAAGATGTTGGTAATATTTAAATAATATTATTATTATATATGTTTCACAATAATATTTAAACATATTATCAGATTTCCAAATATTAAGAGTAATTTAATTTTAAGATATTCAATCAAAACATTTTAATAATATTTAATAATATTTAAACTAAATTATGTATTATGTAAATTATATATATATATATATATATATATATATATATAATATCTTTTTGAGATATATAAATTGTTACATTTATAAATTTAAGAATTTATCAAAATGTTATTAATTTAGAGAGTCAAGAATCATAATTTTGTAAGTCCTACTGTTTATAAAATTTGACTCACTTCGATTTTTCTGATGCATAAGTGGTAATTCCTGATGCTTGAGGCCGTGGAAATTTTCTATATTAGTGTTCGTGTCGGCCACGCCAGGAATGGTACTAAGCCCCAGGAAAGCTTCACCCGCGAAATCATTTGCCGTAAGAACATCGTGATCCATCACCGTAAAAAGAATCATGGCGTTAAGGTCACGACACTGCTCCACATTTACCGAACTTTAAAAAAGTACATATATTCGTTAAAATTAAATATCTTTTCCATTGTTATCAATCATCTGATATGAAATAGACATAAAATAATCATGTTACATAACAATATCAAGAGTTTTAACTAACAAATTTCTTTTTAAGATGTTTTTAAGATTGTTAGAGTAAAGAAAATATCAAGTAATGTGATGTGATATACTCACAATTCAAAACACTCATCAAACATGGGATTTAGGGTCCTCTTTTTGACATTAGTCTGCTGCTCGGCGCAATGCTCGAACATTCGTCGTGGCAATAATTCGATTATAACGAAAGGATCGCTGAATCCATTTGGATCTAACGGTATGACATCTCTAGCATTTATTACTTCAACGCAAAGAGAATCGTGATTCAAATAAGCTCGCACCGTTAAAACTCCATATTCACAGGTAGTTGTGTTGTATTGGTCCTAAAAATTAATAATTAATATTATAAATCTGTAAAAACTTTAAATGTTATGCTATATGTATTTCATATTGTACGTAAAAATATTAAGGATAAAATATTAAAAGAAAAAATATTCAAGAAAAATTGTATTTTCTCAAGATACATTTTTATAAATTTAAAGAATTAAAAAATTAATTATACTTGAATTATTAATTAATAATATTTAATTATTAATATTTTTAATATTTTGTATTATACCTGAAGGCGTTGGTAATAAAATCGATCGATTAAGAAAGTTGTATCCATTTTGTGATATTGAAGGCGCTCCTCTGCATTCATAAAACTTTGACGACGTAATACTTCTAAAGGTAAACCCTTGTCGTCAGCATTAAAAAATTTAATTAATAAATCAAGTGCTTTATGCAATCTTTCGTAAAACATCACTGGTTTATCCTGTAAATAAAGTAATGTTCTTTTTATTATCATTTAGATTTTTTACAAGTAGGTGAATTTACAGATTTTAATATGACCAGATATTGTCAAAATAATTTTTATTATTTTTTATCATATGATTTTGCTATGAAAAAATTTATGTACAATTATTATATCATAATTACTTCGGCATTTCCATCCATTTGACTGCTCAATTCGCTAAGGACTACTTCCCAAATATCCTGCAGAATACGGTTAAAATTTGCGGCAAGTAGAGCTGAATTGAGTGCTACCAAATGAACATCTAGATATTCGACGAGAGGTGCTATCGCTTCCGTAGTCGGTAGACTATCGGGAGACCAAGCTAAGTGAAACATCGCCTTCTTTAAAGGTGGTCTCATCTATAAATCAAATAAAAGAAGAAAGAAAAAATTACTTTAAATATCAAAAAGCTATCAGTGATCTTCATTTCTTTATTATAAATGTATTTCCTTCTCATATTGTATGTGGCTATTATTAATTAAAAATGATAATTGCATAACTTTTTAATAAGAATCTATTGATATTTAATTATTATTGATAACATAATCGCGATTTTGTCACGATAATAATTTATAATTATCAGTGACATTTTAAAAATAAGAATATAATATAATTAGAGAATATAATTACACTGTAGGTGTATACATGATGATCTATTGGAAAAATAATGAATTATTGATTTAAATCGCGATACTAATTATGTATAGAATATATATAATAGTATATATAATATAACAACATCTCAAATTATAAGATAAAAAATTATAATTGTATTGTTTTAGAGAAATTAATTTAAAATTGCATAACACATAACACATTTTTTTATTTATATAATATTTATATTAATTTTTCTTTCTTTTGTATACCTTTGCTCCGATTCTCGAAACTATTTGATTGATGAAAAGCAACATTTGTTCAGGGGTTTGTTCAAGTGGTGTTATTAAGGCATTCCGCCATTGTATCCGAATGGATTCACCTGCTTGATTCTCCAAAGCCGTCAAAATTTGTTCTACGCGAAGTTCTTCACCCAAAGTTAACAACCATCTTCTCACGTATTCAAGTCCATTGATAGCCACACACATCTGAAAATGAAATATAGTATATATATATATATATATATATATATATTTAGTAGCGCTAAGGGTTAATAATCGATAATATTATTGTTGCATTTTATATTTTGTATTATATTTTGTATATTTTGTATATTTTGTATATACCACTCTAAAAAATAGAAGAACAACAAATATGAAATTCTTTTATATTTCGAAGTCTAATAAATTAGATAATATTATAATAAAAATAATTAATGATTATTATAAAATAATGTATACATACTTACATCTTACACGCTATATATATGTATATGTATGTATATATATATAGAAATTTATTTATATGCTTTTTTATGCTTTTTATAAGTTAATGCATTAGTATACTTGCGCTGTATATATATTGTATCATGCTTCGCTTGCCGTGCAAAATTGTAATTGCATCTAACATTTACTTAGCAAAATTTTTTTGTAAAGCAGAAATTATACTATCTGTATACTAAAGCGAAGCAATCTCTACCTGAGCGATTACCTCATCTGTGGTCTTATACGGTGTATGTTCCTCATAATATCCACTATCTGCCAGCTTCTGATGTGTTATCTCTGCATAATAAGCCGCAGAACTGCAAATTGCCTAAGAAAAATTTAAATTATGATATTATTGGTATATTTCTGTATTTTGCAAATAATTATATTATATTTTTAATTTTTATATGATCTTTTTTCGTATTAAGAAAATTTATAGAAAAAAAGTTTTATACAAAAGTAAAATTTTATAAATGTATCAAATTTCAGTATATATTTTAAGTATATTGCAAATTACAGAAAGTACACAATAGTTTTGTCAGCAAAGTAATAGGCGATAAATGTATTAGATAAGATTATGATTACTTACATCGACAACTTTTAGCACGAAATTATAAGATCCAGGTAGATCTGGCCACGCTAATTTCTTCCAGAATTCTTTAATCTTTATGATTAGAAGAAAAAGATGTATAATTATTAATGTATTATTTTTATAACAGAATCATAATTGTTATTATTACTGCGGTGATTTATATTATAATGAATATATGTAAATAAAAAAAGTGAAATGTGATAAAAAGTACCTGATAAAAACATGCAACGGCATCGATTGCCGATGTGCAATGTTTGACGAAATATTCCCCAGTGCAGATCCGATCGAGTTCTGCGGCTCTTCGTACTCTTTGAACTGCTTTGAGCTTCGCCAAATCCAGCCATTTGTCGACAGCCGGTCTGAACCATTCGTAATACTTGCAGATCGCCAAAGTTTTATGGTCTGATTGTGGTAAATTCTCCTTCATGCTGAAAAAACGACCAATTTTATATTTGATCATATTTTGTATCGGACTGTATGATTTTTTAAATGCCAGATATATAATGCAAAGATAATTTTTTTATGTTAAAAAAACAATTACATATAAACATTTATTTTAAAAAGTAATTATTAAGTACTATTAATAAATATTAATAGCACTTAATAATTACTTACATCAACATTAATACAGATGCAATAAGAAATTTACTTTACAAAATCTTGAAGTGCTAAATAAAGTTCGAATATTGGCGTTCCTATCTCAGCGCCGGGTGGCAGAACATATTCCTCATCTCTATTTTGACTGTGTAGCTGTAGACAGGCAGTAGTGACTCTTGCACCAAGCTCATTATGCATCTGCGAAATCAGTCATTTTAATTATGCGCGAGTTCTTTAATAGTATAAACTAAAGAAAATTTATTACTTCTGTAGCATTTAAGCCACTGTATCATATTTTGCGCGGCAATAATTTTACAGCATTTTATCGAAGTTTACAAAAACTTTTCAATATTCTAATTAGTGAAGAAGCTATTAGAGTTCAAATGTAGTTATCACTAAAAAATAGGAATGGAATTTCTGTTAGAAATTGATACATGCCTAAAACACTCTGTACATATATATATAATTGTGTATAAGATAATCCATATATAATCCAACATTTTTTCAAATTTTAATTACAAATTAAATATTTATGAAATGATATTTTGAAATGATATTTATGAAATGATCTTTTTTTATCTACACTAAATATTTTATTATAATTTTATTTTTTATTACTATTTTTATATATAATATTGAATATATGATTATATGCGATAAACTAGTACTCCCTTATATAAAATATTTTTGATATTTTAGTAAGATTTTATTAATTTTTTAATTCTTAAATTTAATAAATTTTTATGTCATGACATTTTTCTGTATTATAATTATTAAATTATAAATAGATTCAAAATAATAAAAAGAAAATAATAACAAGAAACGATATTTTGATATACATGTTGGTATACTGTTGATCTTCTTTTTAGTAGAAAAATATTTATTTTGATTTGTAATTACATTAAAATCTATTTAAAAATTAAATTTCATTGGAACTACATTTATGCGTTACAATGCATAATACTTCATATAACATAATAATTCGTTGGATCACATATACTTAAATACTGTGGCAGAAACTCTAACAGGTTTGCAGACTCGGCAAAATTTGTATGCAAAGCTATTAAAGTTCAATCTCATGTGTAATTGTTGCCATAATGCACGGGTCGTCGGTGTGGGACTCTATGCGACTTTACTCGAGAGAGGTCTCAAGAGTCGTGCCGGATATCAACTCCGATGATGTAGCTAACAGGGATAAACGCGAGTTGTGCCAGCACATACAGTAAGTACTCTTGCATTACAAAACTTTTCGAGTATCTGTACGGTAAACTGTTTGCAGAGAAGAGCACTAGTCAAGGTATGCATCGGATGCACCGGAAAGTTTCAAGTATCCCCGCAACCGAAGTATCCGTGTGCAATTTACCCAAGAGGGTTGTCGTAATAAGTTTCCGACTTCTGGCACGTTGTTCGGCAAAACAAATGCACAAAAAGATGTAATTTTATTAAAAGTTCACGAACTGTACTTGATTAATTAAATTCATTTTAGCACGATGCGATCGAATTTAATTCTTTTAAAAGGGATGAACAGATGTAATTAAATCGATAGAAATCGCTTCTCGATCGAATTTGAAATTTTCCGCTATAAGACTGGACGAATTTAATTTTAGTTTGTTGAAAAACTTTTGTGAAAGAGCGGAATTTTACGGTATCTACAGAAGAAATTTAATCATAATTTGCGAGAGATCTCGAAATTTGAAGTAAAGGCATTTCTAAAAATGCAAAAAATATGTAAATCGTAAACATATCCCTAGTAGCACACTTTATTGGAGCAATTTTGACTAACAATATACATCCAATATTTTCAATATTGGTCCAATATTGCAAAGTAGACGCGCTTTCATTTTGAGCCAATATTGAATTGTAATATTGGACGAATATATTATTTTCATCTTTAACCAAGATTGGCTAGTTATACATACCCAAATATTTTTACATTGGATATATATATCAGTTACGTAGTTAATACGAAGGCAAATAAGTAGGACGTCATTTGTTGAACTGGTGAACGCATGCAATCAGTATATGTCAACTGCAGCTGTGTATCACTGATATTCTGAATAGATGCATGCAACGCTTGCGATAATTTTATTCACGATGAAACTTATTATGTCGCAAAAGAAACATGCAGCAATGGCGGAAAATAAAGAACCGTTGAACGGTGAATGACACGAGGCAATAGTGCGCATCGACATCTTCATAAATCCGGTAAATGCGACTATAATGCGCAGAGAGACATCGATTCGTACACAATAAATAAACAGAACAGCACAATTATTCTATCACTGACGTAAAATGGCATTGAAATGCGTTTGTCATAATTGACACAGATACTTGAGACACCCATACATACATTGAATAATTATAGCTTTATAAAAATATATTTATATCTGCAACGCGAAATAATATTATCAATTCGAATTAGACGCACTATTGCTCGTTTCGTGCAGTTTGCGAATATTCTTTTTTGCAGTTATTGATGTGTGTTGAGAACGTGTGCTATTCTTCGTGTTGAGAAACTATAATTCTATAAAGACTCAAATATTATAGAACCGCGAGCTTAAATCATCAATCAAAATGAATTATAATTACCTTGAAAAACTAATGTATATAATGTATATATATATATATATATATATATATATATACACATATATATAATAAAATATATACTCAACGATTTACTAAATTGATCCTCTATTTTTGCTATTATTTTTCTGCTTAACTGCATACTCATATAGGTTCTTCTATTTTCATTATTTATTTTGTATATACAAACTAACTTTTAATAGTTATAAAATATTATATTATAGCTCTATATTGTAAGCAAAAATGAACTATTTATTGACATATTATGTTATTATTACTTATTATTACTTATATATACAGGGTGTTCTAGTTATCTTCCGTCATCTTTCAAAGACCGATTTTTCCTCAGCGAAAATGTCAATGAAGGCCATCATTTTTTGCATGTTTTCCTGATTTTTGTCATCATATATCTTTGCAATTAAGTCTTAAATTAAAACTCAACTAAAGTAAACTTTATTTAAAATTAATCAAAGAATGTGGTTTTGTTAATATTTTATTTCTACAAAGCTTAGTTTACGAAAAACCCCTTATTTCCAATCACTTATAATTCGAAAATTATTAGTGCCTCGACATTTTCGTTGAGGAAAAATCATCTTCAGATGATCCCAGAAATCTGTCTTTGAAAGATGACGGAAGATAACTGGGACATCCTGTATACTTATTATATTAATTACTATAATATAGTAATTAATTTATTTTCTTTTAATGAATATGCAGATAAAAATACGATATACATACGACAGTTTCAACAGCTTTTACATTATGCAGGAAATTTGAAATAAAAAAGAATAAAAAATAAAAAAAAGGTAACAAAGAGAGATAAAAAGAGAGAAAGAGAAAGAGAGAGTTTAATATTTTGTGGTGCCGATGAAAAAAGTACCTCGGAAGTGTTCTCCATGTGTTTCGCCACGTGTTCCGCCAGCTATGGACAAACATCTCGTGTACAATAAAATCGCGCTGACCTGATGGACATTTATAATTCGTCGTCACGCTTTTTTCTTAACCTAGCCCTTTCAGGTCACTGCGACTTGTTTATTTACAGTGTGTCCGGCGCGATATTATCAATTTTCATTACTTTACGACTTGTTCCTTTATTTTTCTTCAATAGTACCTATTTTTTACAACATAGTAAATAATTAATTTGTAGTTTGTTAAATTGTTATATAAAATTATATATATTATTTGGGACACTCTATATATAAACAATAAAATGTATTGTCATTTTAATGCATGGACGTCGACCGGATTTATTTATAAATAATTAGTAATTTGATAAATTAAATAGTAATTTGAAGAATCAGAAATTTAATTAAATTTAATTTGTTGTAAATATAATCTAGTTATAGATACAAATATTCATTTATCGGCTTCAAAAAAATTTATCAAGATAATATTTTTTTTTTTATTTTGTACGATCGACGTCTCAAATAAAGCGTTTAAGCAAACATAGCACATCCAGCTTGACGACACAGTGAATAAAAAATAATGATGTGTTATGTAATAGTGTGTCTTTGACGCGATATATTACGAAATCACAATTGAAGATCTATCGGTATAAATATCTTTTATGATCTGTTCACGAAAGATATTTTTTTGCTATTTGCATTCTTACCAGTTTTTCCAGTTGCTTGTAAACTGCTGAGAAATATGGCACACCATTCGTACTAAAACACAAATTTAATACATCGCAGACAGAAAAAGATTGTGCAAATATTTCTTGATTTGAATCAAGAAAAATGTGTATAAATTTATAAACATTGTAAATTTTTGCCAAAATGTTGTAATTTCTAAATTCGTATAATAATCAGAATAATAATAATAATACTGCTGTTTAAATTGCTAAAAATATTGTTAAAAATGAAGTAAAAGTAAAATTAATAATTATATCGATAATTTTAAACTTTTTATGCTTTTATAAGATTTTTCATACGTACAAATACTAATTATTTTTTAAATGTACCTTTAATATATGTTTTACCATCTAAATTTCTATATTATTAAATTAAATTTAAGAGAAACTTACCTTTCAAAGAGACTGTTATAATATAAAAGTCCCTGTTCCAGGTCGACCAATAATGTAGTTACTAAATTCGTAAAGTCTTGCAAGACTCGATCGATATCCTGATCGGGTTCTTGATCGTGGCACATAGTTTGTTGTCTGGTATCCTCGTACCTGTAAGATTCAGAACAATCTCGATGAAAATGTTAATATTTGTCTTACGTTTTGTGTAACTTTATATACTTATTTTCTATTTGCATGTTTCTGGGTGATTACTTCAGAATAAATTACAAAAAAAAAAAACAATTACAAAAGAAAATAAAATGGAAAAAATTATTCAAATAAAATTTATTATTTCATTGTAATAAAACCAATTTACCATTCGAGAGTTCCTTTTCTAAGAGCAGTAATAATCTCTCCTCGGATTTCCTTGTTAAAAGGACAACAAGTTCGAAAAGCCTTCATATTCGAGAGAAGTCCCAAACATCTATATAACAACAATAATTACACTATTATTTTACATATAAATTATATCATTCAAATATATTGGAATTATGATTAATTTCTCAATATGTTAAGAATTGAAGAATATGTTTATTATTATTTCTAATGTTATTTCAAGAAATATAAAATCACCTGAGTAGATAATCCAATTTCGATATAGTCGGTCTATGCAGAGGAGGGTAAAGTACACGATGCTGTCTGACCTTTTTTAAAGATACCTCCAAGAAATCATTAAAGGAATCTGCCAGGCACTGTTCTGCGTCGCGCGAAAGAGTTTCAGTATGCCATCGATTGTCAAGTTCCTAAGTTTGAAAGACAATTTTAAACTTGTTATTCTCATTTGATTTCATACATTAATGCAACATTGTCGTAACATGATAAAATGCAAGTTATAGTTTTATCTTTGAAGTTACCTGCAGAAGACGATGAAGCGTTCGTGGATCGACGGCATGCTGTCGGGAACTCGCCACCCATCTTATTAAAGCTTGCTGCAATTCAGTAACATCACCTTGCACTGCATGTTGATGTAAAATTGTCAGCGCGGTTTGCGGTAGTTCTCCAGTGAACTCTTCCTAAAACACGCAAGTGCGTATAAAAACACGCTTGATTAAAACAATTCTTAGGTAATAAATTATAATTAAGTTGTTTTAAAATACAATTTATATAATTTTTATATTAGCATTTTATTTAATTTTGAGAATATTGGCAAAAATTGTGTGTTTAACTACTTAACTAACGTTTTTATTTTTTTTTTAGAATTTTATTTGAAATTTTATAACGATAAAATTCTAAAAAAAAATAAAAACACACACATATATATATATATATATATATGTTTTTATTTTTACAACATATATATATATATATATATATATATATATATATATATGTTGTAAAAAAATTTATTATATATGTATATATATATATATATATATATAATAAATATGGAGATGCACGATACAATATATCATATTATGGGAAAATTTATGATGCCGCATTATATGAAATATACTTAAGCATATAAATACATTTATGGTGTGGGACAGTCTGTATTAGACTATTATACATACCCCTTGTTTATTCATTTCATGATTAAGAAAAACTGTATATAGTCTTTCCTGTTGTCTCAATTCACCCCAATTATCTTCCTCAGACCCGCGATCCTCCCTCGTTGACAGCCATAATTTCAGTCTGATTCTACCTTGTATATTACTCCTTTGTGTCCGCGCCTCCAACTTATACCATTGATCCACTCCAGTGCTCGGAATATCCTATATAAAGACAATATGTATATTTTTATTTTATTTTATTTTATATTTTCGATATTTTACTGTTTTTATATCTTACACCAATTATGGTTACTGTATCATTAAGATATTGTTCAAAGCTATATAGTTTTAAAAAATTCAGAAAATTATAAAAAATAATTATCGGTATTATTAAAAAATCGTTTCAAAAAATAATTGATTCTGATAAGTTGATAAATATTTTCAGTTGGTAAATTTTACGCCAAATTTTGCGAATTATTCTAAATTATTAAAATAATAATTAAATTTAAAATTTTATATTATTTACAGTTTACTAAAATAATTTAGTAATAAATTCATTATAAATTAAATAATTACCACTAGAGGGATATTTACACAACCTAGGAAGTCATCTTGACTTCCAGATCTAGCGCTCTGCGCGATTTGCTTGAAAAATCGGCCGAGCCCTTTTACGCCTCGCACCTCGTTGAGTTTGATTACAGCATCGAACACCGAGGACTCGTCGTCGTGGTCCCTAAAATCAATCTAATCTTGTAAAATCTTCCTTTTAATAAAAAAGATTTTGTATATTCGCGTATTATTTCTGCAGATAATAATATTATTATGCAATATAACAATCAAGATTAATTATGTTCTAATTACTTCAATTTTTTAAATAAATTTTAAATCAATATTAACACAATTTTAATTTTTTTTATGTCTATTTTTTAGAAATTTATATTTATGCATTTATACAAACTTACCATATGTCCAGATGGAGAATATCCGTGTTGATGTCGTCGATATCGCTAAAAGAGGAAACAATGGATGGTATTATGTACTACTATATGGATTTGCATTACTTAAACTAATAAAGGATCATCATTGTGAGCACCAATTAAGGGCCAGGCCCCAAAGTTTGCGCTTACAAACGAAATTTCTCGTTCCATCGCGGGCTTAGCGTATGCGGCTTCACCGAGGTAGCTCGTATAAACTTCGCGGGTAGAGCACCGCTTAAGGATTCACGGTGTTCCCGCCTGCTGTGTTCCTTGCGCTTAAACGAAAGCCTGAAACTGATTTTGAATAAGCAATTTACTAATCATCATTATTTCATTACAAATGTCCTAAATTTTCAACTATTCTTTTCTTTTATTGTAGTGATCTCTACTTATTAAGGTTTTGTTCAATTTTTGAAACAACAAGAGGCAATTTGTTAGCTCTTTTATCAGAGACGAAAGTGCGTAGTAATTAATCATTAGCAATATATAAATAAAAAAGCAAACGTAAAAAATAAATAAATTTTAAAATATATAGTTAAATAAATGTATAATTGTTGTATTCTCAAAAATAATAATTTTCTCTTTCTCACATAACTTTCATATAAATTATTTCCTTCTCTCTCTCCCTCCCTCTCTCTCTCTCTCTTTCTTTCTCTCCAATTTCATATAAATTAATTATTTTCTATGTAATAAACTTCAAACTGTGTTGCAATTACATTGTATTATCGTTATTTTACATTAATTAAAAAGCGTTTTAAGAATATCACACGAATCGATATTTACAATATTGCAACTCGTAATCTAACTAAAATTTTAACATTAGTTGGCAAATTGTATCATTATTGAAGATAACATAAGGTCTTGAGTTTTTCTTACAAAACTTCCAGGTTTACGATGCCAAGATGCAGCATGATACTTTAGAATCTCTCGAATCCGAATGGGATTTTGCTTAAGTGACGAAGGGTGTGCAACTTGTGTGCCTCGCTGCAGCCCGTAATGTACTGTTCGCTCTGTTGTCGTATTAATTATTTTACTTATGCCACCAGGTGGCGAATGAAATAACATGAGATATACAGGAAAATGAGCTTGCTCTCTCAATGCTCTCGTCCGTTCCCCACCCGGGGAGCGATGCTTGCCGTCCGCACAACTTGCATCTGTTGCGTCCATTGTGCATCACGTTGCATTGTCGCAAATGTCATCGGAGTTAGCACGCGATAAATGCACATATCATCGAATGATACGCGGATTCGTAGCATATTAGATTGGTGCTTGTTTAACTTTAATCTTCTATTATTTCAAAAATGTAATGAATGTAACACTTTACATATACTTTACTAGATAGGTAAAGGATCTGATATACCGTATGTATTACTAGTTTGAAAGATTTATATTTATATCTTTTTGCGTGAATCTATAGATTTAACGTATGATGCATGCAAAAATATACATATTTTGTAATTATAATTTATAAAAATAAGTTCTATAAAAAATTTCGATTTCAATATAGTTATATTTTATCACTATAAAAAATATTATATAAATAAAATATGTGCACACAAATAATATATTATTTAGTGATACAAATACACTTAATTTATTTAATTTTAATTATTTAATTTTCTAAGAAATTTAATTTGTGATAATAATTTCTTTCATATATTTTTAATTTATAGAAGCAAAATTTTACAAATTTATAATTTCTCAATTTTTATGTACCAATCTATAGATTTATTTGTTATTCCTAAGAAATCTTTAATATTTCCTTAAAGTAAGGTCCGCTTCATTTTTTCAGTTAAGCGTTCTCTATGACATTAATTGCTATCCTCAGATGTGCACTTATCTTAAGTACTACGTTGTCAGTTTCATCGTACTGTTGATAACGGTAGACGTACCGCAATATTTTATAATAAATGCCATTCGAAACAATAGACTAACACACTCGCATCATTAATATCAATCAGATCATTACTAATAGATAACAGTTTTTCGAAATAATTGATAATTTAAAGGAGAAAATTCAATTCTACAATATTTACAGATTCTACGAGAAATAAAGAATTGTTTAGCCGTGAGAAGAAGCAGTTTTATTTAGAACAATTAACACACAATATTTATAATCAGACTAGAATAAAAATATACTGAATGTTATATGTTTAAAAGTCATATGTACTAAGGTTTGCTCGATGGATATCTCGATTATATTATAATATATCGATATAATTATGTTATAGAGAGAGTTATAAATAATAATAAAATTATCAAAAATATGAAGAAATTATAATATTAATCTTACAGAACGTTTGTATATTCACGTTATGTTTGATTAATCGTCTTTCTCGTCCATCAACTTACCTATGATGTTTACGAAGCTTCTCATGATGTGAGTTCTCGTTGTCACCACCGTCGGATAGAGCGCGAGTTGCTTGCCTTGGGGATGCCGGGGGTGTGTGCGGCGAATGCGCCGTTAAATTCGTTTGAGGGCTCAATGGCGCACCTGCGTTGCCAGGCTGTATTCCCAGCATACAGTAAGGATCGCTAAATCCTAAAGAAAATAGCAGTAACTTTTTCTGATGAAAAGTATTTTACAAAATCTTTACATGAATTACAAAATTATTACAAAGCTGTTTTATTCGTATTCGTTATAACTCAAATTTGCAGAAAATATTCTAACATTTTTTAATAATATTTCTACCTTACATATTTTATATATATATATATATATATAATATTTTTTATATGTATATATATATATATATATACTATATATATATATATATATATATATATATACATATAAAAAATATAATTGTAAATAATTCTATTTTGAATTTTGTTGTAAATTACGAGTATATATCATATAAAAAGACTTATATTATTATACCGAAAAAAAATTATTTTAGATATAACTGCATTATCAGTATATAGGAGAATATTGCCAGCTTATTATAAAATACAAAAATGTGAAAAGTGTTATTCAAAAAAATAATTATAATATTTATTTTTTTGAAAACAAAATAAAAATGTATTAAAATATAATATTTACATATAAAATTTAAATGTAAATAAAATAGTAATAGAAAGAAACGCAATACATATTTCTCTATATTCTCGATATTCAAAAATAATAAATCAATCACGAATCATTTCACGAACATCGAGCTTCAATTTGACTCAACGGACTTCTAACTACTTAGACATCGAATTGACAATTAACTGACTTTATACTTCCTAACTGTATTATTTTTAATCGCTCTTAAAATTTGAAAGGTAATCGTGAAATATTTGAATGGAATGCACTTACCATTGACGTCCTTTGCTTCAAGTCCATCGGCTTCGATTACTACCACGCTTAGCACAACGATAGGTGGCTGTAACGATAAATAAAAGTTTAATTTTATACATGTATTATTGTATCGCCAATAATGGTATTTTAGCAATATATTCTTCGCGATAAGATACAGCGTTTTTGAGAAGAAAGTCAATAAAGCGGTACACCTTTTCTTCTGAGGCAATATTAAGATATCGCCGATGCTGATCAGAGGGAACTCCGAAAGCTTCCTGAGCGTATCGATATAAATCCTCCTTATAATGTGCATATTGCCCTGTACTGGCGCCTACTGTATTCGCAATCGTGTAAAGGACTTCTATATACAATTGCTCTATCTGAAAAATATTAATATCTTTGTAATAATTTTTGTAATAAACAAATAATAAGCTGAGATCGTAATTAATATTTTTATAGGAAAAAATTGATATTTATTAAAACTTAATTGATATTTATTGAAACTTAAATATATGTTTTTCTCAAATTTCTATAACACTTAAAATTTATTTTCCATTGTTCCAAATTGTTAAAAGAATATGTAATAATCATCATTGAAATAATATAAATCATTAATATTAAATAATTTTCGCTCAAAAAAGAAATTTTAACAATTTCAATGTAAATAGAATTTTTTGTAACATTAAATACATTTTTATTTGCTTATTTTTATCTGCCAATTTATTTAGAAATTATTTCTCACAGAAAATATATGATACTAATATATATATAAAAAAAAGTAAAATATGGTTAGGTTAGGTGATAATTATGAATAATTAAATAAATTTAATGCTATAGATGAAATATATTCTATTTTATCTATTCGTATCATTTTCTAATACAAAAAATAAAAATAAAAATAAAAATTTTTCTCTTTTCCTTCTTATTCATAAAGAGACAATATCTAGTTTTTTGCTTATTATTTTTCCTTGAAATTCAATACATCGCAATCTTTACTTTATATCAATAGAAAGAAAAACAAGGATAAAGTTAAAAAATCGAGATGACAAAACATTGTATCCGCAGAAAGTAGAGATGAAGAGAAAATAATAAACAGAACTTGATTCGAAAAGTTTATTGCAAACTCAAAAATCTTCTTGGAAAAATTTACTTATAAATACTTTTTTGTTTAAATTTATTTATTTATAAATGTTTTTCTGTTTAAATTTATTTGCTTATAAATGCTTTCGGTTTAAATATTCATTTTACTATTGAAAATTTACGAGACAATAGTGAGAAATTACATAATATCTATTTGCATCTCATCAGAAAGATAATACGCTTTTACATAAATTTATAAACCTATCATAAATTTAAAAACACATAGATCTATAAATTTAGATTCATAAAGTCATAAATATGTAGAAAAAATTATATTATGTATTATTATTATTATGTATATATGTTATATTATAAAATTATATTACATATTATATAATATATAATTATATAATCATAAGTTAAAATATCATATATATAATATAATAAAATTTAGAATTTTTAGTACATATTTTGTTTTTTTTGTGCTCAAATCGAAACAGAGATATACATATATAAAATTTATTTTCATGACTTTTCAAACATATTTATTAATGCAAAAGTTTGCATATTTATTATTAAATGTTTAATGTTACTTTTAATGTTACGTTTCTATTTGTATAAATTTAAATTTATTATTGTTTCTACGTAAATGTATGGGAATATGTAATATTATTTGAATAACATATTTTCTACCAATTCTGCCGATCACGTAGTTATACGAATCGATAAATATATATGTAACAAGTAAGAAATTGCTTGATTAAATTTGGAATTTTAAATTTCGTAATTCGAACATATATACCGAATTGTAAAATAAATAGCTTCATATTTCCGCTCGCTATAGTTGATAAGTTGAAGTGATAAAAGTAAGATGTACTTTTATTATGGGCCGTCTATCCATTATTTCGATCAGCGAGCGCCTATGTCTGACAGTGCGGCCGGCTTTATCTACTTAGAATAATACTTCAAACGTAACTATTCGTTCACATGCGAAGTCCACTGCAACCAGAATGAATACGTGCTAAATGCAACGACGTTGTGCCGCACGCGATTCGATTCGCGACGCAGAGGTGTGGAAAATTAGCCCATCTACTTCTTTAATAAGATTCATAAAAAAATTACAATCATAAAATATTTTTAATAACATTCATAAAAAATTCGTTGAAGCGCGGAAACAATCCTGATCTGCACGAGAAATATCTGGCAACTTAACATGCATTTTTACAACGGGCTAAATAATATTTTATGAAAAAAAAGTATAAAAGAATATAATTATGTGACAAAGCAGAAACTATACTGACCTCTTTTTTGCTAAGCCGATACGGATGCGAAGTCGAGATCGAATCTCTGGATGGCGGTGGCGGTTCTTTTGCTCTTGCTTCCACTTCCTGAAGAACAACGAGTCTCCGATTCTCCTGCTTCCAGGACAACGCAGTAAAGCTTTCAAAGAAGGATCCATCTGTTTCTTGGACACTATATAATTAAATAGTTAAATTTAATATATAATACTAATAATTTTTTGCAAATTATGATGCGATATATAGATTCGTTTGTTACACGTTGCGTTACGTTCGTTTGTAACAAAAAGAAAAATTATGTAATAAATACGTGGTAGATATCTCATAATACATAATAAATACTAATAAAGTTTTCGTAATTATTTCTTTTAATTAAATAATTAAATATTAGATTTTATAAGATTTACTATCTATATCAAAACATATTTATACAAACATTTTGATTGCAGATACATATAAATATCAAATTGATAATAATATATTTTATATTTTAATATTTTAACATTAATAAATTTTAATAATCATATGCATATTTTCGGTTTATTTATCAATAAATGTGACCACTTTTGTAAGCAAATTTTAATTTATTATTGATCGATCATATATACATACATATTATTTATATATAGGAAAAATTTTCAAATAACAGATGTCAAACCTTTCTAATAAAATAAATTTTTAATTCACACATCTTTACGTTACTGTACACATTAGTGCTAGATATATATATGGTCTACCTGTATATGTTTGGTAATATAAGTAAATCGAAGAAAACAAGTACATTTTATACTAAATTAATTTGCGTTCGTATAAATAAAACTTATTACAATACTTCACACATCAACTAACGATTTTTCTACCATCGCGTGAGCACCTAGTTTCGCAATCTCGCGAAATTATCAATCGCTTATCAAGATTTCCTCTGCGTTGGCATTTTTAATATGACATATGCACGTTTTAAGTGAAAACGATATTTTTAATCATTACTCGTTTTAGTATTTATTTTGTCTAATATTAATTTAAACATTTTCGTACATAAAAAGATGTTTTAGTTAAATATAAGATTGTAATTTGTAATCACAAGATTTTGGTATAAATTTTTATATTATATATTTATAATTTTTTTTATTATTTGTAATATCTGTATATAATATGATAAAATATGTATATGTATTATAACATACATATTAAATAATCTTATAAGTATCGTTATGTAAATAATACTTTAAGGAACAAACAAAAAGAATAAGCATATTATTTCGGTTACTAAATAGTTATAGTTTTGTCAAAAAATAATATTTCTCGTTAAAGCATCGATTATTAATTAAAATACTCAATTTAAAAAAAACTAGAATTAAAAGATATTGTAAAGTAATTCGAAAAACTATAATTATACCAAGATGATAGAGATTTTGATACTTCCATAGATATCGCAGGAACATATTCTATGCACGATCGCTCAAATTAAACTTGTGATTCACGGAATGTATTTTGTTGTTAATTATTTTCTTCTATAGATTCTAAAGAGCAGATACCAAAACAAAATTTTTCGTAAATATGTTAAAAGTCTTATGAAAAGTCCCTACAAATTCCTCTCATGAAATTTTTAAATCTAAATTTTTCGAGATTTTTTATCTTTCTTTACTCATATAATATATAAAATAATATACAAAATTTATATTCTTGTTTCATAAACAATGACTTATAAAATGTACATATATTTAGAAAGTTAATAATATATTATTACAGAACTGTATATTATATATATAGATCGTGTTACTTGCCCTTTATTTTATTACCTTTTATTGCTTGTTATTAATATAATTATCGTTTCGACAAGTTACGATCACTTCTTCCTCTGACCGAGTTCAAGCCAGTAGGGATATCGTAATGAAAAATCTTATCTTACACAGAGTTATGTTTCAAAGCAAGAAAACCAGCTATAAAGAAAGCGCTCTAAGTATAAAAATTACATTTTATAGAACTTGAATTGTACGTGTCATTTATATAATGCACGACATTAATGAAACTCCCCCTTTACAGTTTGCAGTACTTGTGAATAAAGGTATAATTTTTAAGCGATTTTGATAGTTTAATGACATTTTTATAATTAAAATGACATTATTGGTCGGATATAGTTTTATCTATTGTCGATTCAATTTTTAATTAAATAAATTATTCAATGGCGCATTTTTAAATGACTTGCTTCGCGTTGCGGCTTAATTTCAACGTGAAAAAGTGTGCAGTTTTATTTTCCATTTCCGTAATAATTACGACTAAATGTAAGGAAGGATTACGTAACTCGTACTAATTTTATCTCGCCAGCTTTATAAAAAATATTCCTCTCAAAGGTTGCACATGCATGTAATTTAAATCAAAAAGCAAATATATATATTAACAGATATTTTTCCGATTTTTACTAATTGGAAGTAATTCACAGTAATTCCTCCAATCTGTCTTAGTAAACTTTACATTTATATTATTTAATTTCATATTACTTAACTGACACTAAAAATATTTTTATTTTCTCAAGGTAAGCTATTTTATTTTCATTTTAATTTTTTCACATATATATAATTATACTAATATTATTTGATTCAGGATAAAATTTGATTCCAAACATAAAAATACTTTAATTTTATATTTTATCTCAACTAAATAAACTTTTGTACATATAATTGATTTCTCTACATAATAAAAATTGAATAATTAATAATTATTCTTGTAAATTATATTCTAATAATTAATAATTATTTTTGTAAACAATATATTAATACATTCTATTTATTTTACATGAAATTATATTCCTGACAACAAAAGATATTTTATAATGATTGCGAATGATATGATATTTTATATCATTCACAATCTTTATAAAATATCTTTCGTTGTCAGGAATATAAGATCGTAGTAAAGTGGTAAGCGCGTCTAAATCGAGGGTACAAAGGTGTATTGCTGAGAAGACGAAGAGGACAATAATGACGTTACCACTGGTTCTTTACGGAAAACCAGTGAGTGCACGTAAAAAGAGCTGTTCACGACGAGAGAGAAAAAGTACTGCAGAGGAATACAACAAGTCATAGGCATCCTCCTAATGGAAACCGAAAGGACATTGACGACATTCCTTTCATTGTCATTCTAACGTCGAAAGCACGTTCGCTGCGCTGTGAATTGTAATTCAATCAGTTTCAACTTTTCACCTTTAGACCTTTAGCACTCAATTTTCAAAACTCGCTTTATAAATCAGCACCCTTTAATTAAAAAGCAAGCAATTTTCCTCATATCATTAGATGTCATGATTTTTTTGTAACTTTATTTTTATTTATTATAATGATTTGTTTTTTCTTTCTTTCTTTTTTTTATTTCCAAAAGATATATATATATATATATATATATATATATATATATATATCTTGTATGTAATCAAAAGTAAATTTTTCAATTTCTTTATATTTCCAAGAAAAAATTCTTTAAATCTATAACTCTTCAATTTAGAAATAAAACATTATATTTTCTACATTCATATAATTTAATATTTATAATTTTATTAAATTATCCATATATCCATGTAATTATATCCTTTTCCCCTAAAAACTGATTATATTGATAATATTGATAATATTGATGATAAAATATCTTACAATTAGTCAATAAAATACTCGCTTTTGTGTTGTTTTCTTTTTTTGTTTTATTATCGAAATAAGTTCGCACGCACAATCATGTAATTAAATTTTCCGTGTCACATAATATTTTCAAGGCTGATATAATGCATTTGATTACTTGTAATTTGTTTAATTGTTATTTAATGACTTCTTCGCAGCGTGCTGCAAAGTTACTTTAGTTCCCTGCCGGTTTCCTTAAGATTAACCGTGCGGCGATAAGCGGAGGTGAAACCGAGCGATAAGATTCTTACTGAGCGATAAATTTAAAACAGATCGCACGAACGCTTCTGTACGTTATTGTTGTCACAATTTGTTGGCCTTACAAAAGTAACTATAATAGTTCTCCCTGACAATTTTTTTAAATTTGTCAATTATATAAATTACATACAATTTTGTAAATTTATATACAAAGACCTTTTAAAAGCTGAATTATTTTTTTTTATGATTAGTCGCAAAGATTATTTAATATAACGCTAACAATTAATAAATTGATGTAATATACTTAAATTTCAGCAAATTTTTATCAGTTAAATTAATGTTATATATGTATGATTTATGGAAAGTATAAATACAGTAATTTTTTAATTTATAAAAATAATTTTAACTATATGCCAAATGTACTTTATAAATTATCATTTAGTTCATTTTCAGTCTTTATTTATGTAATATATTTGTTTACAATACACATACATGTAAAAATATACTTATTATGATAAAAGCAAATCAGTAAAAATATTAATTTCAAAATTGTATATTCCTTTATTTTCGCATCTCTAAAAATAAATTTTCTAAATAAATTCGTATGAAAACAGAACTTTTTTTGTTGCATAAAGTATTAAAATAGTTCGTTTAGAAAACATTTTCCTGAAACTCGTTCGTAAGAATACATGCTTATTTTACGCTCTCTTAAAACCTCAAAATCGTACATTTGTGTGCGAAGTATGTTATTCTTGGATAGCTTCATTGTTGGTTCTTTCTTTTATTTTCAGAGTGTATTGTCTCCTTTTTCGAGAGATCAAAATGTTCGAGTTGTTCCATAGAAACTAGTCATTGAACAGAAAATGCGTCATCAGTGTATATCTTGGTTGTATCATATTTGTCTCTTGATTACAGAAAATTGTATGAAAATTGTAAAAATAAATAATAAACAAGCTTGTTTAAATTATTCTAAAGTGAAAAAACCATCTGCTTAAATGAAGGATAACTATTAACTACTCATCCTGTTCTTTCTCATTAAAAATTTATATAATAAAGTCTTTTTCATTGAAATACATTGCAAAATTTTCGGATCTTATTATGCGCTCACAGTTTTTATAATCCATAAATTTAAAATTTCATGGATTTGTAAGATTATACAATTTTTTTTCATTATAGATATTTATCAAACTTATATATATCGCGATACACTTTTAATAAAATAATTATTTTAATAGAATTTTCATTTACAAAAAATTTTTACATTTCTGAATTATATAATATATAATTCATGCATTTAATTTTTATATTTTGGAAA